GCCCCCATGGGATTTTGCGGCCGTGGTGAGGGGGATGCCTTGTGGTGTGATTTGGTGGGGTTGGGTCTCCCAGGGAGGTCCCCATGGGGTTTGGTCTTGGATTAGCACTGTGGAGCTGGGGGTGAAGAGGGGAAGGTGGAGGGCTCCCCAACAGGGAGCAAGATGTAGTGGAGAAGGAAGAGTCCCATGCTGAAGGTGTCCAGGACAAGGGGATGCAGGGCATTGTCTCTGTGGCTGAACGTGTCCAGGGCACTGTTCTACAACCCCAGATAGAACCGCTCAATTTTAGCCTGTCCTGCAAGCCCGAGGCAGGCAGCACTTATGGGATGGTCCCATTCCCCAGCAGCTGTAAGTGGAGGCAGGAGTTACCGACTTGAGGGCAGGACATAAGGACATTGGATGGCCTCTGCTTGGTGGTCACCCCTTTCCATCCTGTGTTTCTCTGTCCCAGGTCAGCCTGCTCAGCCATGAACACCTCTGTGCCCAGCAGCCAACTGAGACAGCCCGAGCCCCAGGATGCGGCCACCTTCACTCCCATCTCCGTTGTCAGGAGCGTGGCAAAGAAGTCCGATGCCCTGCCCATGATCTCAGTGATTGTCATCATCTTTGTCCTCTTGGCTGTCTTCATCATCATTGTGGTGCACTATGGCCCTCACCTCCGCACCGTCCAGGTCACCCTCTACCACGAGCCCATGCCGCAGGACCTGGACAACGGAGTGCACCTCATGGACTGGAAGAAGCTGGGCTCCCAGAAGAAGCTGCCTGCCCAGCCCTGCCAGCAAGAACCACCCAGCGTGGATGCAGCCGGCATGAGCTGCCAGTGTTCCTGCAAGCATCACCTTCCCTGTGGAAGTGCTGAGCCCAACGTCATCGAGATCACATACCTGTGACAAGGCTGTGGGCCACCAGCGCAGGACTCAAGGGGCCATGTCCCACTGGAACAACAGTGACTGGGATGTTCGCTTAGCCTGAGACTCACCAGTTCCTGCACATGGAGGTTGTAGCTCCCCAGGACTGTGTCCCTCCCCAGATGGGCTCAGCCAGGAGGCTGTCACTGTGGTGACCCATCATCAGCTCCCAAAAGTACAGCCTAGGGAGTGCCACTGTCCCCAGGCAAGAGTTGGATCCCCAGCCCAGGCTCTGGGGCTGGATCAGCCTACGTGGGACAGTGTTAGCACCTCTTCTGTTTTTTCTCGCCCTGGTTTTACCTGTCCCACGCTGTCTGGGAGTGGCCACGGAGATCTGTCTTGGTCCTTGCCCCAGCTGGGGAGCTCTGGGCCTACACTCAGCTCTTTGGCAGGAGCTGGAAATTACATCATCGGGAACTGCTTTCCAGATGAAATATGTTTCCACATGCACAGTGCCCTCATTATGTTGAGGACAGAAGAGCCTCTGGCTTCTCTTTTCCTCCATGCCACAGCCCCTTTTCCTCTGTTGGAGAGCTGAAACACTGTCCTCCCTCCTGCCCACCCTGGCAGTGGGCTCAGCCCGGTGTGGCAAACAGCCAGAGGAGAGGAGGCAGTGCCTGGGTTGATGTTTCAGCGGTGAAGCCAGCAGTAGAGGACAACGTGTCTGTCCAGTCCCCCAGTGGAGGTGTGTGAGAGAGGTGACACAGCAGAGGCAGGAGAGGTGATAATGGCACATCAGGCACCCCTTGCTGGTGGCTGAACATCTTGAGGTGTTGGCACCAGTGGAGAAATGCGTGTATCTCTGGGCAGAGCCTGCAGCACAACAGCAGGGATGGGGAGACCTTAGGTCATCTTCATTGTCCCCATCGCTGTCTGCTCTTGCTGTGCAAAGGGAAGCTCACGGGTGGTTTCAACGTTGGGAGCAGCAGGGCATGTCCCAGCTGAGGTGGGAGCGATGGTGGTGTTGGCATAGCCAACCATGGTGGGTGTTGATGTGGCTTGGTCACCCTGGGCAGAAGCTCTTTCAGGTGGCACGGAGGGAGCAGATGGAGAGGTGAAATGTCCTGAGCCCCATAAGGCTCCTGGTGGTAGCAGACCATGGTGACCTGCTCAGCCCTGGGAGCCTTTCTGCTGCTAGAGGCACCAGGCATCTCTTTGGACAAGAAATTGGTCTCATTTTCTCCACACTCAGTGGAAGCTGGACATCAAATCCTGTCTTCAGTGTGTGGGCTCGGGGGACAGTCCCTGGGGAGGGAGCGCAGCCTCTTGGGTCACCCTCAAGGATTTATTCTGATGACTAGTTGTAGAAGTCGAAATACGGTTCCTGCCTCTCTCAGAACAGAAAAGCCAGATCCATGTCTGTCCTAGGCCACATTCCCGGCACAGATCCCTCCGTGCACCGTTGGACAAGAAATGGGGTCTTTTACCTGTTCCTCCAGGTGTTGGAGGTATTTCTGGCATGGCAGATGCTCCAGCATCCTTCCTCTCACTTACTTTAAATCTAAGTAGTGGTTGGACTTGCTGGACAATTTTGGTCTTTACAATAAATGTAATTTATATTACTTTTTTTACGGGGTTGTTTTCTGTTTTGGTATTTTCCCCCTTTTGTTTTCCAGAGGTGATAGGGCATTATCAGCTTTCGCGTGCCTGTGTTACAGGAGATAAGGTCTATCATTTCGACTGAAAACCACTGGGAGTCCCACCTCCCTTTGTACACCAACACAGGGCTTATTTTTTAATTTACACATCTCTAATTAGCAGCACCACCTGAAGAGCTAACAACCTTCCAGGGACTTCTCTTTAAACAATGGCTGTAGGTTGTGATAATCCAGGTGGTCACCCATGGTGAGGGCTGAGTCCAAGAGCTTAAAAAAAAAACCCCTTACAACCACCAGTAGATCTGCATTGTGGTACCAGACTGGCTACACCGCATCTTGGTGAAACCGAGAGATGGCGTCACCTGTTCAGGGTGGACTGGCAGAGCTGGCTTTCTTGGTTGTGTCATTTCAGATCAGGGAGCAGCTTGGTTCAAGACAAAATCTTTAATCGGAGAAATAAGAGCTTTCATGGCAGCTCCCGCTGAAGGACAACCGCAGCAGGGAAACATCGTGTTTGCAAAGAAAAGATTAAAAATGTCTAGATATTAATAAAGAGGAAGATAAAATGGGTAATTATTGCTAGAACTCATTGATTTGCAGCCGCTGGGGACTCGTAAGGGTCTGATTTATGTGGCAGCATGCTGTGGCCTAGATCTATCACTTACACAGTGGAGGAGCTGGGGAAACCCCACCATTCCAAAATGCTTTGCCATTGTTCAGGTATTTCAGGCTGTCAAACTAAAAGCAAATAAAACCAGCAGTGAACAGTGGTGCTGATGGGGCTCCAGTTTCCCCCCACATTTCTCCTGTGCCCTGATTCCTCAAGCCCAGGGCGGGAGCTGTGAGCAGCCCCTTTGTCTATATGACCTTTTCTGAAAAGATCGAGTATTGAAGTTCTGGCCTTCAGTATTTTTTCCATGTATTTCATTTGCAAACAGATATTTGGATATAACCTTTTGAAATACAGGAAAAAAAATAAATTTAAATTGCTGTAAGACTCATAATAGACAACTAAATCATATAAACAAGCCACAAGCTTTTGCCAGCTTTCTCCTTTAGAAGGACACCAAGGGTTATACCTCAGCCTGGTTTCTCATTGCTCTTTCCTGCACAATAAAATATAATTTTTACAGATTCTCTTCTTTTATACTAGGCCAGCTCTACTGCTATCTGCTTGTAGGATTGCTCCTAGTAGCAATAAAGTAGCACAAGACTTTATAAAATACATTAGGGTTCGCGGGTGGCAGAGGCTGTGCACACAAATTAGCATAACATTATTACTCTCTATTCAAACACCGAGCTTGTTCCCATTTATTTCACTTATAACTTTCTTCCTCTCCTTAACAATAATCTTTTTATGAATGCAGAGCAACAATAACTCTCCTTATCGTACCCTCTACACGGGGGAGCTCCTGGAGCACAGCAAGCAGGAGCTGGCAGAGACTTTACCATTAGCAGCTTTCCTCAAAACCAGATTGCTGCCTCAGGAAGCTTTTTAAAAACTACTGCATCACCTGCTAACTGTCCTGATTGAGGATTGCCCGAATCGCCTTTAATTTCCCTCCTAATTAGGGTCTTCATGTGCTGCAGGGGGGAGCACCTCTATAAGCCCTGCACAGGCACATAGCTCCCAGGAGCATTTAGCAGGGTTTTACAGCTGGGGATGGAGGAAACTCTGCTTGTGATACTGTGGAATTGCCTAAAATTGCGCAAAACTGAGGGAGACATCTAGGGAATGATAAAATCATTAAGGCTGGAAAGGAGCTTGAAGTTCATCAAGTCCAGCTGTCAACCCAACACCACCATGCCCTCTAAACCATGTCCTGAAGTGCCATGTCTACACGTGTTCTGAACCCCTCCAGGGATGGTGACTTCATCACTCCCCTGGGCAGCCTGTTCCAATGCTGGACCACTCTTTCAGTAAAGAAATATTTCCTAATATCCAACCTGAACCTCCCCTGGCGCAACTTGAGGCCATTTCCTCTTGTTCTGTCACTTGTTCCTTGGTCGAACAGACCCACCCCCACCTCTCTACACCCTCCTTTCAGGGAGCTGGAGAGAGCCAGAAGGTGTCCCCTCAGCTTCCTTTTCTCCAGGATCAACAACCCCAGTTCCCTCAGCCATGAACTCATCACACTTGTGCTCCAGCCCCTTCCCCAGCTCCATTGCCCTTCTCTGGACACGCTCCAGCACCTCCATGTCCTTCTTGGAGTGAGGGGCCCAACACTGAACCCAGCACTCGAGGTGCGGCCTCACCAGTGCCCAGTACAGGGGGATGATCACTGCACTGGTCCTCTTCAGCAGAGGATGAGGATGGAGAGGAGCTGCAGCATCACCCAGTGCCTCCCTGCAGGGCTGGGTCCCAGCTGAGCCCGACCAGGACCTCTGCATTGGGCTGAGGGTGGTCAGAGAGCCTCTCGTTAGGAGGTTTGCTGAGAACTTGGTGGTTCTCTGCACCTTGCAGCCCATCGGCCCGCGGGCCGCGCAGGACAGAGCAGCAGTGGGCTCTTGTGGTGGAGGCAGCCAACTGCAGGCAGGGGTGCGGGCCAGGGTGCGGGACGGGGTGCGGGCAGCCAGCTGGGGAGGTGGTTTCTCCTGCCTCTCCACAGCATTGATGAGGGCGCAGCTGGGGTGAGCTTGTGTTTGGAGGGATGTGCCCAGTTTTGGGCTCCGTGGTGCAAGGAAGGCATCACTGGAGGAGGTTAGGAGATACAGAGAAGTCTTCACTGTGGTGAAGGATGAGGTCCTGAGAAACCCAGCACAAAAGGGACCTGATTGGGGGTCTGGGCCAGGAGGCATGTGAAAGTCACTTTCAGCCAGTGTCACCTTCTGATTTTACAGAGAAGATGAGCACAGGGAGAGCCAAGGCTCCCTGAGAGGAGGTCCAGACACCTCTTGCAGATCTGTGTACTTGCCATTTGGTGTGGCAGGGTGAATCATTTCCTTCCTGAGGATGGGGCAGGTCCTGGGCCACCTTGTGCATCTGCACCCCACTCCTAAAACACCTAATGAACAGACATGGATTAAGAAAACCTGTTCTGCTGAAAAGGGAGTGGCACTTCTAGAGAAGCAAAGCTTATCTCTGAAGGACTGAAAATTGGGACAGCTGAGGAAGAAAAGCATGATGCTGGTGTAAGGGCACCAGCTGGTGAGAAGCATCCATGCTTTTACTTGCTCCATCTACATTTGCAGCCATCCTCCTGCTGAGGATGGTGCTCTAAGGTACAGAGCTAAGCCTGGAAGAGTGTCCTATCTTGGGGTATTTTCTATGGCCTCTGTGTCCTGACCCTCAGACACCATTTCCCACCCCATGGAGCAGCTGTGGAGCAGAGATGAGACCAAGTCCTGCTTCCCTGAATGGTCCACAGGATATGGTAGGCCCTG